AGCACAGCAGGCAGCACTACCACAGCAACAGCAAGCAGGCACTACCACAGCAGCAGCAAGCAGGCACTACCACAGCAGCAGCAAGCAGGCACTACCACAGCAGCAGCAAGCAGGCACTACCACAGCAGCAGCAAGCAGGCACTACCACAGCAGCAGCAGGCAGGCACTACCACAGCAGCAGCAGGCAGGCACTACCACAGCAGCAGCAGGCAGGCACTACCACAGCAGCAGCAAGCAGGCACTACCACAGCAGCAGCAGGCAGGCACTACCACAGCAGCAGCAGGCAGGCACTACCACAGCAGCAGCAGGCAGGCACTACCACACAGCAGCAAGCAGGCACTACCACAGCAGCACAAGCAGCACTACCACAGCAGCAGCAAGCAGGCACTACCCACAGCAGCAGCAGGCAGGCACTACCACAGCAGCAACAGTGAGGCACTACCAAAGCAAAAGCAGGCAGGCACTACCACAGCAGCAGCAGTGAGGCACTACCACAGCAGCAGCAGGCAGGCATTACCACAGCAGCAGCAGTCAGGCACTACCACAGCAGCAGCAGTCAGGCACTACCACAGCAGCAAGCAGTCAGGCACACCACAGCAGCAGCAAGCAGCACTACCACAGCAGAGCAAGCAGCACTACCACAGCAGCAGCAGGCAGACACTACCACAGTAACAGCAGTGAGGCACTACCACAGCAGCAGCAGGCAGGCATTACCACAGCAGCAGCAGTCAGGCACTACCACAGCAGCAGCAGTCAGGCACTACCACAGCAGCAGCAGTCAGGCACTACCACAGCAGCAGCAGGCAGGCATTACCACAGCAGCAGCAGTCAGGCACTACCACAGCAGCAGCAGTCAGGCACTACCACAGCAGCAGCAAGCAGGCACTACCACAGCAGCAGCAGGCAGACACTACCACAGTAACAGCAGTGAGGCACTACCACAGCAGCAGCAGGCAGGCACTACCACAGCAGCAGCAGGCAGGCACTACCACAGCAGCAGCAGGCAGGCACTACCACAGAAGCAGCAAGCAGGCACTACCACAGCAGCAGCAGGCAGGCACTACCACAGCAGCAATAAGCAGGCACTACCACAGCAGCAGCAGGCAGGCACTACCACAGCAGCAGCAGTGAGGCACTACTACAGCAGCAGTAGGCAGGCACTACCACAGCAGCAGCAGTCAGGCACTACCACAGCAGCAGCAGGCAGGCACTACCACAGCAGCAGCAGGCAGGCACTACCACAGCAGCAGCAGGCAGGCACTACCACAGCAGCAGCAGTGAGGCACTACCACAGCAGCAGCAGGCAGGCACTACCACAGCAGCAGCAGGCAGGCACTACCACAGCAGCAGCAGGCAGGCACTAACACAGCAACAGCAGGCAGGCACTACCACAGCAGCAGCAGTCAGGCACTACCACAGCAGCAGCAGTGAGGCACCACCACAGCAGCAGCAGTCAGGCACTACCACAGCAGCAGCAGGCAGGCACTACCACAGCAGCAGCAGTCAGGCACTACCACAGCAGCAGCAGTGAGGCACTACCACAGCCGCAGCAGGCAGGCACTACCACAGCAGCAGCAGGCAGGCACTACCACAGTAACAGCAAGCAGGCACTACCACAGCATCAGCAGGCAGGCACTACCACAGCAGCAGCAGGCAGGCACTACCACAGCAGCAGCAGTTAGGCACTACCACAGCAGCAGCAGTCAGGCACTACCACAGCAGCAGCAGGCAGGCACTACCACAGCAGCAGCAGTCAGGCACTACCACAGCAACAGCAGTGAGGCACTACCACAGCAGCAGCAGGCAGGCACTACCACAGCAGCAGCAGGCAGGCACTACCACAGTAACAGCAAGCAGGCACTACCACAGCAGCAGCAGGCAGGTACTACCACAGCAGCAGCAGGCAGGCACTACCACAGCAGCAGCAGGCAGGCACTCCCACAGCAACAGCAGGCAGGTACTACCACAGCAGCAGCAGCAGGCAGGCACTACCACAGCAGCAGCAGGCAGGCACTCCCACAGCAACAGCAGGCAGGCACTACTACAGCAGCAGCAGGCAGGCACTACCACAGCAGCAGCAGGCAGGTACTACCACAGCAGCAGCAGGCAGGCACTACCACAGCAGCAGCAGGCAGGCACTACCACAGCAGCAGCAGGCAGGCACTACCACAGTAACAGCAGGCAGGCACTCCCACAGCAACAGCAGGCAGGCACTACTACAGCAGCAGCAGGCAGGCACTACCACAGCAGCAGCAGGCAGGCACTACCACAGTAACAGCAGGCAGGCACTACCACAGTAACAGCAGGCAAGCACTACCACAGCAGCAGCAAGCAGACACTACCACAGCAGCAGGCAGGCAGGCACTTCCACAACATTAGGGAAGCACTACCACAACAGTAGGAGGCACTACCACAAGAACAGAGGCAAGGCACTACCACAACAGTAGGAGGCACTACCACAACATAGGCAAGCACTACACAACACTAGGAAGGCACACA